GTAATTATTAAGGCCCCCCCATATTATTGCTGGAGGCTGGGCTCCTCTGTGGCTGGTCCCAGTACACTTTATCAATTAGGCACGAGTCCCAAGCCCTGAAACTGGAAGTAAAGGCCTAGTAAGCCCGGAGTTCACCAAGTTTCTGTCTGCACTGTGGCTGCGTAGCACGGACCGTGAGACAGGCCGGTCTGTTCTGGCTGCGAAGGAATTCTGAAGACAAAACAGCCCTAAACCCTGAAATCCACAACCTAAGCCAAACCCCAAGATCCAAAAATCGAAACTCTGTCTCTAATAAACCCCAAACACTAAGCCCTCAACCTTAGACACACTGAATCTCGGAATCTTTGATCCGTGAAAGCAGACCCAACAGTTGCCTCCAATTATTCCGGCGTCGTTAGTTGCTGTCAAGTAACAACCAAACATCACAACAAAAACACTCGCTCATCAGAACAACTGTACTAATACTTTGTAATATTAGTCGGAGTCCTTGCGCAATGTGGATCCTTCAGTGCGTCCGAATGATTTAAGTAGGTTTCGGAATCTCTCACCTGAGAAAATCCATTCAGGCAGCTGCCCAGGCCCACCAGATCCCGTCGCAGCGAGGAGGACCTGCAAGCGATGGGAAACTGACTCGACGCATGGCTCTAGTCAAGCTTATTCGTTGTTCATTTGATGGGGGAAGGCTTTTCCCACAACGCTTATGGGGTGTAGTGCGTAGGGTTTCAGGTCTATAGAGTTCAGAGGCCTTGTATGGGTGCCTTAAATCCTGGTACGAAGCCTTATAGCATTTCCTACCAAAAGGACCACTAAAACTTGCTACATCATGCAGGACCGCTTCTCTTCGACGTAGAGGGCTGACTGATTAGCAACAATATCCTTTCGCAGTCCCTGTATAGATGCCTACACTATGAATCAAACCCCAAAGGCAAGTAAGAACCGGCAAAACCCCCTAACAAACCCTATTCAACTCTCGACCTCAACTTTTTTCTGCCTGTTATGGACCGCATGGTGGAAACATGTGGAAACGCAGCCTCCTTTACAAGAAGCTATTTGCAAGCACCCTTGTGATCATCAAGGCCCCTACTGTCTCTCTCGCCGACGTGCGACAGGGCCGGCCCCTAAACCCTAAACCCCCAAAC